TACCTGGAGGGCATGGGGAGCTCTGGGGTTTCTCACAGGTATGGGGGGGTCTAGGGAGTCCTTGAGAGAGTCCAGTGGGGTCTCTGGGCAGTGTAAGGGGGTTGGGGGGGTGTCACCTGATACAGAGAGGTCTTGGAGGGGAATCTTGGAGTAGAACAGGGCCCTGGGGCTCCTTGGGGGCTCTATGTGGCCTCGAAAGTATGGGGGGGTCTAGAGAGTCCTGGGTGGGGCTCCGGGGGTGCCTGGAGGGTGTTGGGGTCTTGGGATGGTATAGGGGACTGAGGGGCAGCAGGCTTATGGGGCAAAGGGGGTGTCTCTGCTGGGGATGCTAGGGTCTGGGGAGCCCCTAAGGATATGGAGGGGTCCCCTGAGGGTCTGGAGACTCCCCAAAGTGCATGCAGGGTTCCCCAGAAATTTGGGGGGTCCTAAAAGGAATCCTTAGGGGTTCTGGGTGCTTGTGGGGGCATCAAAGGGGTCTGTGGAGGTTCTGCAGGGGTCTCACCGGTAGCAGTCATTGTGGAAGCGGTTGTAGCTGCCCAGAGCTGTCAGCGCACCAAGCCCAATGGCATAGGAGAAGAAGATCTGTGTTCCTGCATCAATCCACACCTGGGGGCGAGGGTGAGGGATGAGACACCTGGGATCAACTGCCTCCCCCACAGGGAACCCAGGCATCCGGCCCCCAACCCCCACCAGTAGAGAACCCAGGAGTCTGGGACCCCCCAACCATGCATGGAACTCCAGTGTCTGGGACCCACCCCCTCAGAGAGAACCCAGGACTTCAGGACCTCCTCCCATCACAGGGAAGCCAGACATGCAGGTAGCACCTGGGGGCGGCCGAGCTGGGCCCAGTCCGGCTGCAGGTAGAAGCGGACACCAGTGGAAGCACCAGGCAGCATGGCCCCGCGTACCAACAGTGCCAGCAGCACCACATAGGGTAGCAGCGCTGTCACATACACCACCTGCTAAGGGCAAGAGCCAGGGGTCAGAGGCAAACCTCAGGAGATGCCCACATCTCCACAGACCTCTAGAGATTCTAGAGACCCCACCTCCATATCCCCAGGCTCCCCCAGAACCCACCAGCCCTCTACCTCTCCTTCAGCCCCTCAAGGCCACAATGCCCCCCCGCAAGCATTCTCCAGGACCTCCCAGAGCCCTCCAAC